GTTGACTCTCCAGGAGCGTCTGGGTTTTCTTTCCATCCTTCTTCTCAAATGCCGTGTTTTTTGTTTCTGGGCTTGTGTGTCACTTTCCTTTCTGTGGTTGGGATGCACCAAGACTTTTGACATGAAAGCTCATCTCGGGAAACGTTTTGTGCTATTTAGAAAATTACTTAGTCTCTCCTGGCCTCTCCTTTTGTGGCTCCCGTTAGATGTCAGATCTTCTGGAACTAGCCTTCCCATCTCTTAATTCTTCTCTCACTTTCCAAATGTTTATCCTTTGCTCTAGGACATTTTCTTGATTTTTATCTTTCAGACCACATTTCAGTCTTTCGCCATTTATTTCCAGGCTCTTTTTTGGCCTTTATCAACTTATTTCCAAATTTAAAATTTTCAAACATTGTCTGATTAATTCTTTCTCACAGCAGCTTGACTTCGTCTTGTGATGTGAATGGGATTCGTCCCCTGGCACCGCTGGGGCCATCAGTGTGCGTTTTCACAGGCTTTGCACCGCTCCTCCAGCAGTCTCTTGCTTGGACACCAGATAAGGCCAGCTCCTTGATGTCGCCTGTCTGGTTTTAGACTAAGCTTTTTTATTCTTGTGCATTGGAGATCTTGTTCCAGTTTACACACATTACCTGTTTCTCTTTTTGATGAATACATGCAGGGTCCTACTGGGCCTCCTTCTTGTTTACATACTACTTTGTTTAGTTTTTCCTATAACTTTTACACGTCCTCTCGGTGGCTCTTCTAGTGGTGGTGAGAGAACTGTGTGCTTCATCCACGTCCCAGAGCTGAGGAAGTCAGCGTTGCTTCAGGGGAATGATCGGGACACTAAGAACGTCTCTGGTCCGCAGGAGGCATGGCACTTGACCTTTCCGACATGCACAGTCACACCTGAGTGCTTCCTGAGGTCATCCCCCATGCGAGGCGCCCCTTTGGGACCCCCTTGTACAGATGCAAAAATCGGGTTCGGAGGGCAGCAAGCTATGAAAGGGACGGTGGTGGTGGGGGAGCCTGAGCGCCTGGCCGCAAAAGGCTCTGCTCGTGGCACCCCCCACCCCTTCCCAACCTCCCCCAGGCCTGGTCCCGGGAAGCCTTGGGTTTTGTGAGTGGCAAGGATGGGG